CGCCGGGCACTCGCCCACGCCTAACATTCACCCTACGCCGGGCACCCATCATACCGAACGATGCCGCGTCAGACACTCCATCCCGACCACCTCCAATGTCGAGCACTTGAGGGGCGCCGAACACCGTGCAACGCCGAGCACTCCCAACCGCCGACCACCATAATGCTTAACCGGTCCCCTTCATATGGACAATGATGACCGGATCACAACCGGTTCCTCACGAGCCAATACTAACGACCATATCAGATTTTATTTGAAATTAATATTTTCTATTATTTTAAATAAATATTAAATAATTAATAAAACATTTGAAAAATGTGCTACATAAATAACAAAAAGCCACAACATAGTTTACAATAACTGGTTTTTCATAATTGTATAAAGTAATTATTTCTGTTATGTGAAATTACTGGTCTTTAACTTGTGAATAACAAAGGATCCCACATTTTTTTTTCCAAACAATAAATTTTCATTCCAACTCAAAAACCATACAAAGTTCGATAATCAACGAATTACAAAAAAAACGGGGTATAAGCAATCAGCTACCCCTGCCAAGGCCATGTCGGCTCATACAATCAACAGAAGAAACAGACAAAATACAAAAACAACATCCACTAAGACTACAAAAACTCACACACACTAAACTTCGAACACAAATCATATATATCTTCTGCTACCAATTCAAAGGACTTCAAAGGATGTGATAGACACAGGGCTGCAAGTGGTAGCAGCCATTCTCTTTCCAGAGAACACAAATATTTGCCAGCTGCTTATTTTGGACCATTACCTTCACAATTCCCCATCCTTCTTGTAATCCTTGTAGTAGCCATTCCCTCACCTCCAGCAATTCTCTTTCCACAGATATTTTCTGTTTTCTTCCCTGTTGCCACATCCATTTGCTGCTCAAACTATTTCCTGTCCATGCAACACCTCTCAACTCCTCAGTCTCTGAAACATTGTCCATAGCACTGGGCACTACAGATTGCACCCCTACTCCTTGACTCTGTTTCAGATCCCCATCTTCCCAACAGCTATCATATTCCAGCCACTCACATCTAGCTTGTTCTACTAACTGCACCTCTGTCACTTCTCTTTTTTCAAACACCCATATATTTCTCGTTTTCCACAACCACCACAACATATAAGTAGATAATGATACTCTACTCTTGTTGTGGTCATTGTGTTTCAGAGTACACAATTCATACCACCATTCTTTGAAGTCAGTTAAACCCCCATCTACTCTGTTCCATTGCAGCCCTGATATTTTCCAAGCCCTTTGAGCTCTTGCACACTTAAACAACAAATGCTCCAAATCTTCTTCTTCCTCTCCACACCAGCTACATACACAATCCACAGCCACTCCCTTCATACACAGCATCTTCTTTGTCCCAATCCATTTATGCCAGCACCTCCAGATAAAATTTTATATCTTCTGCTTAATAGGCAACTTCCAAGTATTATTCCACATTCTCTGTATCTTTACATGCCCACTGCTAGACTCAATTCTTCCTTCAGCTACAATCTTTGCCTGTCTGATCATAAAATATGCACTCTTGACAGTGAAATTACCTTTCCTCTCCGGATTCCAAATCAGTTTGTCCTTCATGCCCCTCTGACTAATGTGAATTTTCAAGATTTGTTCTGCTTCATGTTGCATAAATGTCTGCAATATCAACTCCTTATCCCATTGCTTGCCATCTGCTAACATCAACTCAGACACCTTAGTCAGTCTTTGTCTGTCATTAGCAAAACAACATGTAGGTTTAAAATGACTGACTTCTGGTATCCATGGAGAATCCCATATTTTTATAGCCTTCCCATTCCCCACTTGATATCTCATGCCTAGTTTCAAAGACTTCCTAGCTCTTAACCATGACTTCCACATCCATGAATCACCGTTTCTCTTTTTAACTTCCATGATATTCTGATTATAAAAGTATTTACCTCTCACTACCTTGCTCATTAGAGGATTTGGTTTTGTTAACACTCTCCATATTTGCTTTAGAAGCAAAGCTTCATTAAAGTCTGCAAAATGTCTAAAACCCAAACCTCCCTCACACTTAGGTTTAGCTAGTTTTTCCCAGTTTGCCCAATGAATACTGGCCCCACCATCTCCTTTTTTATTCCACCAGAACCTAGCAATTATTTTACAAATCTCCTCACAAACTGCCACTGGAATTCTGAATACTGACATCACATAAATGGGTAAGGCATTTAAAACAGTTTTGTTCATTATCTCCTTCCCTGCTTCACTCAAAAATCTGTTTTTCCAACTAGTAACCTTAGCAATGACACACTCCTTAACAAAAGCAAAAATTTCTTTTTTATTTCTACCTATTCCTAAGGGTAATCCCAAGTACTTAGATTTTCTAGCAATGTTAATCCCTGGAAACATTTGACAGATCTGTAACCTTACAGCCTCAGTGGTATTGGCAGAAAAGAAAATACTGGATTTTTTAAGGTTAACAGCTTGACCTGAAGCTTGACAATAGGAATTAATAACAGACAAAAGGACAGAGGCATTAGCAAAATCAGCTTGACACAAAAGAAGGGAATCATCTGCAAAGAATAAGTGGGAAATCATAGGAGCTGTTTTACTAATTTTTACTCCTTGTAATTTGTTGGACTGAATAGCTTTATTAATACAGTTGGACAAAGCTTCAGTAACAATGATGAACAGATAGGAGGACAGAGGATCCCCCTGTCTTAAGCCCCTAGATGGAATAATATGCCCCTTAGCCTGCCCATTTATATTTACTGCAAAAGAAGAAGTAGATATACAGGACCAAATCCAAAACAGAAATTTCTCACAAAACCCCATTTTCCTACAGATATTAATAAGGAACCCCCACTCAACCCTATCGTAAGCCTTTTCCATGTCTAATTTTAATGCCATATATCTCTTTCTGCCTTTTTTCCTACCATTCAGATAGTGGATACATTCATTAGCAATAATGACATTATCCAAAATTTGCCTACCAGGAACGAAGGCAGATTGAGATTGGGAAATGCAGACACTGAGAACACTTTTAAGCCTATTAGCTAAAACTTTAGCTATAATTCTATAAGTAATGGAACATAAACTTATAGGTCTGAAATCATGGATCTTCTTAGGAAACTTGACTTTGGGAATTAAGGTAATAGCTGTTTTATTAGTATCTCTAGGCATACTACCAGAGGAAAAGAAATTAGACACAGCAAAACAGGGATCATGCTTTATTATATCCCATGAAGATTGAAAAAATAGGGGAGTAAATCCATCTATACCTGGTGCTTTTTGTGGATCCATGTCCCACAGTGCTTTCTTGATCTCTTCTTCATCCACCACTCTAGTGAGTTTCTGATTCATTTCACTGGTAATAGATTTATTTATACCACTTAAAACTTCTTCATCACCACTAGGATTCAATGATGTAAACAATTTTTCAAAAAATCCCAACACTTCTTGCACCACCTGTCCTTCTGTTTCACATCTACCCCCACTGATCCTCTCCAAATTTTCCAAGCTATTTACACTCCTCCTTTGCCTCACACATGCTTGGAAATATTTAGTATTTCTATCCCCTTCCCTTAACCACCTAACCCTGGCTTTCTGTTTCCAGAACAACTCCTCTTTCTTATAAGCTTCCTGAACCTTTTTCTTGCATTCAAACCACTCTTCCCAATTTCTAAAGCCCCCTTGTTTTCCCATAATCTCTAACCTCTCATTACACTCCTTAATCTCCTTAGCTGAGTTAGAGATTTGTTGATTAGCCCACCCTATCAAAACTCCTCTCACATTTCTTAGTTTTTGCTGAAATTTATACATTCCATGCCCAAAAGCAGCTCTACCCCACCCTTCTCTCACACACTCAAGATACCCTTCAGTTTTAACCCATCTACCATCAAAATAAAACCTCTTATTCCCCCTCATATCTTTCCCTTCATTCTGCAACACTAACATGCAATGATCAGATGCCACTAGAGGAATGTGGAGAACCTTGCTATTGGGGAAGTTAATGATCCAATTTGGGGACACAAACACTCTATCAATTTTTTCCTCAATAAACTCAGTACCTCTCCTATTACTAGACCAGGTATATGGATGCCCTACTGAAGGACATTCCACTGCACCTAACTTTTGGATAAACTCCCTAAACACTCTAAAACTTGACTCACTCCTAATAATACCCCCTCTCTTCTCCCCATTATGCAAAATGTCATTAAAATCCCCCCCAATAAACCAAGAATCCCCCCATCTACTGTGATTTCTAATCAGATAATCCCATTGATCTTGCCTTACAGTAGCCTCAACACTAGCATATATAAACACAGCCCACATACTCTTAGACTCATCCCCCATTTTAAAGCAAACTTCAAAACAGAAATTATTAGCTATAATGTCAATAATAATTACTCTATCTGACCAGCATAACAAAAGACCCCCCTTATTACCTTCTGGGTTAACATATTTCCAGTTACTACCTACTCCTAGATTTTTACAGACTGTTTCAACAAAAGATCTTTTTTTCCTAGTTTCAGATAAAAAAGTAAAACCAGGGAGGTAGGCCCTCATATTGGCCTTCAACTGGGGAATTGTAGAGGGTCCTCCCAGACCTCTACAATTCCATACCAGTACCCTCATTTAGAACCTTGGGACCATTTATGGCTGGTCTCCTCCACCATTTTAACATGCTCATTATTACCTACTTTCTGTTTCTTGATTTCTTCAATATTTTGATTATCAGATTCCCCATTTTCATCACCATATTTTCTTTTATAACCCTTCTCCTCTCCTTCACCCACATTTCCACTACTCTCACCTACAGCCTTTCTCTGAATCCCAACCCTATCCTTACCCCTAGTTATTCTAATAAAACTTCTCTGATTTCTAGCCTGTTTCTTATTATACACCTCTTGTTGAACTGCCACTTCAACAAGATTACATGGCTCTAGCACCTCTTTACCCTTACCCTCACACACCATAGGGATAATCTCATATCCCTGAATCTGTTCCTCCCCACTTATAGACCCTCCTTGCTCCCTACTGGCAGGTTCCTTAACCAACTCTGCAGACATGATTATATCATCATCTGCTTCAATGGTTTCCCCTGCTGTAGGATGCTTACGGCCCCTAGACTCTTTATCCCCTCCTACTCTAGTAGGACTCAAATCCTCCCCCTCCCCACTAATGCCTTTATTAGTCCCCGATGTATCCTTAGGACTGTGAGGACTTACAGTTCTTCTCTCTCTACCCTCCCAAGATTCCCCATTTGAACCCCTTAACCATTCCCCAAATTGTCCAGATTTCACCACATTCCTCTGGATATCACTTTTCTTCTTCTCACATGATCTCTCATGATGACCTATTATCCCACAATAAAAACAAAAAGTTAACAAGTTCTCATATCGAAATTCTATCCAGTGGCCCTCCTCTCCCAACTTAACATTAATACCCCTGGGCAATGGTTCTGTAACACTCACATCTACCAATATTTTAATCACTCTTCCATTAACACTCCCGGCCAACGGCACTACTACATCTTTCACTTTCCCAAAAAATTGCCCCACCCTCATACCTGTCTCCATAGATATCCAGTGCAATGGTAGTTTATGGATTTGCACCCACAATTCCACCTTTATCTCTTCCTCCTTAAACTCTGTCTCCCCCTTCTTCCAATCCTTAAGAATCATATACTGTCCATCAAAGTTCCAGGTTTTACGCTTCAGCACCTTTTCCTTATCCTCCCGAGATTGAAACAGAAACTGGTATTCATTCTGTCCCAATACCCGGATGGAGAAGGGTCTGCTCGTCCTCCATGCTACACCCATGGTTGTTTTTAACCCTCCCACACTGACTTTCTTCTCCCCCACGATCCTTCCAATAATGCTAAGTGCGCATTCTTGAACCCCTAGTTCCACATCCGCTTCTGATAGAGTAATCCCCTTTTGTTCCTTCTCTAACAAATCAAACTTGTTGAACTTTTCGACTATTTTCCGCTCCATCTCCCGAAACTTATCAGAAACTCACAGAGTGTTGGAATCCGTAGAAATCGAGAAATCCCGCAGATCCACGACCACTCAAGCAATCCAGCTTAGATGTATTTAGAAAATCCAACCCTAACCCCTCACTCCACCCCTTCCCCCAAGAACAGGCCCGATAAAGTGGAGATACAGAAACCCTAATTATTGCTCACAGGAAAATGAAGAAACAAGGAAAAGATGATTTAAGACAGATGAAACTGGGATGATCAATAAACGATAAATCCAGAAAAGAAGATAGATCAAGCGAGAATCGAGTGATTGAGGCTGTAAAGATTACAGATCTGAGTTTCCAACGTGTGGAAAAGGAAATCTCTAATCAAGAGAGAGAAAATATCTCCACTAGAGAGAGAAAAGGGCTTCTAAAGGATCCCACATTCGTTTTGCCTATATATACCAATATTTTAAAACTCAGCCTGATGTTAGCTATGAATAGTGACCAGGACAATAGATTCATGGTGTAATCGCAAAATTATTTTTCCAATTTTTAAAATTTCATATATACAAATTTTTTACATATAATTAAAACTACTAAAATAGTTTGTATTCATGATAATATTATTAATTTGTGATATCTTATCTATATATATTGAAAGAGATTGTTAACAATTTAAAATAGTATATGTGACTTTGTAATTAAATAGGTTGACTTACTATAAATGGAAATTGGTACTGAAATCGACTTCACCCGAGTTCCTTCAACTTGGACGGCCTCCGTACATGCAAGAACGCAACACTGGGGGAGATATTTGTCTCGGCGAGGGGATTCCGGTGGTACTCTCGAATTTTTGATAGCCCTCACGGATCGCCGGGAAAGTGCATTTGAATGCCGGAGTAGACTAAAATTCACTAGATCCGAAAAGTTTGACCGGCCAAGCCAAAAGCCTTCCCGGAGGAATTTTTGCATTAAATTTTAAGGGGAGAATCACCTTGATAAGATCTACCCGGTAATGTAAAAATTTTTCTGATCGAAGCACTTTCGCCTGCGGCGGAGGCGACGTCGGCGGCGGCGGCGGCCGACGGAGGTGAAGGAGCTTGTTGGAATATTTTCGGAAATTTTCAATTGGAACCACTTTGCCGCGGTCGATTCTTTGGCTTTTAGAAGGGTCCCACATACAGTGTCAATGGTAGAGAAATGGACTTAACTTGGGCTCCTTCTAGTCGAACGACCTCCGTACCTGCAAGAACCACACGCCGGGGGAGGTCCCTGCATCGGGCCTCTGATGCTTAATTCAAAATTCACTCCAAATAAAGAGTGCAATATCGGAATTTAATCATCAATGTAGAGAGAAGGAGGTTTTGGAATACCTTAGCACCCTTTTATAGGGGGCGTGTACCTTAGTGCCCAAGTTAGGCTTGGTCAATATCATTATGTCACGTACCCTAGCCCATGCGTAGGCTTAGTCTCTAATATATTTCATTTTATCTATTAAAACCGATCTAGTATAATATTCTATATCATTTAGTTCCCTCCCACTCTGGTCGAGTGAGCATAACTCGATCTAAGATTGAAATGCGCCTTCTGGATGTTTCTGCCAACCTGCCACTGAGGTTATAATTCGAATAAATCCTTGTCCACCAACTATCCAAAGTGACCACCGAATAACCTCCAAATGAGCATCGAGCGACCGCACTGAGGTCGAAAATCGAGTGACCGACTACTGGGGTCGAACACCAAAAGCCGAATGACCATTGAGGTTGAAAGTCGAGTGACCCACCACTGAGGTCGAACACCTAAGACCGAATGACCTCTGAGGTAAAAAATCGAGTGACCCACTAGTAGGGTCGAGCACCGAAGACCGAATGGCCACTGAGGTAAAAAAACCGAATGCTGGGGTCAAAAATCGAAAACCAAATGACAACTGAGGTCGAAAATCGAGTGACACGCCATTGGAGTACAACACCGAAAGCCAAATAACCACTGACATCGAAAATCCAGTGACCCACCACTAGAGTCGAACATCGAAAGCCGAATGACCACTGAGTTCAAAAATTGAATGACCTGACGCCACATCAAAGTCGGACCTTTGCTCTTCATTTTGCAATGTCGACCTTCTTTTGATACCTTTCGACCTGCTTACTTGGACTTCCATCATACCTTGATAGATTTTCTCGATCTCTCTCCGAATTCTTTAATTTGAAAATTTGAACTCACGTCTGTTGTTTTTCGACCACCATATTCGAGATTTCTTCGCTCAAAGATAAACTTTCTCGACCACCTCGTCTTCTCGCCCTTCAGTTCAAAATTTTAAATTCAACCCTGTCGTTTCAACTTTCTCGATCAATCTTGCCCGTCAATTTGACCTACCTCCGACGACTGAATGTGCTTGACCTTATTTTGAGGTGTTCCACCGAGGTATGCGAATAGATCCATAAACCACACCAAGGAAAAACCTTCGACCTGCCACTGAGGTCTGCCAAAACACTCCGTGATTTGCTCCTAGTGATCTCCATCGACCTGTCATTGACGCCGAAAAATAAATTCAACAAAATGAAAATCAAGTAAAAACATCAACCTGAAACTGAGGTTGGCCAATACTGTCCATGAATTGCGCCATTTTGAACTCCATCGACCTGCCACAGAGGTCGAAAGACAAATTCGGAAAAACCAAATCAAGTAAAAAACCATCGACATGCCACTAAGGTCGACCAATAATCTCCATGAATTGCACCAAATAAACTCCATCGACCTGCCACTGAGGTCAAAAAACAATTTCGACAAAATCAAAACCAAGTAAAAAATCATCGACCTGTCAACGAGGTCTCTAATGAACTCCGTGAATTACTTAAAATAAACTACATCGACCTGCCACTGAGGTCGAAGAACAATTTCGACAAAATCACAACCAAGTAAAAAATCATCGACTGGCCACCGTGGTCTCCAATAAACTCTTTGAATTACTCCAAATAAACTCCATCGACCTACCACAGAGGTTGAAAGATAAAATCAAAACCAAGCAAAAATCATTGACTTGCCTCCGGGGTCTCCAATAAGCTCTGTGTCTTCAATGACACAACACTAGGATCGACCCCAGCCTCACAGTATTAGTCATGGTTGATTTTTTCGTCGAGCACAGACCCACCCTCAAAGCAGTGGTCGATACATGCGACCACCCCATTTCACGACCTTAGTCATGGTGGATTTTTTTTCGAGCACATGCCCACTCTCAAAGGATTGGTCGATACATGCGACCACCTAGCCTCACGACCTTAGTCATGGTGGATTATTCCTTCGAGCACATGTCCACCCTCAAAGGAGTGGTCAATACATGCGACCACCCAACCTCATGGCCTTAGTAATGGTGGATTTTTTCCTCGAGCACATGCCCACCCTCAAAGGACTGGTCGATACATGCGACCACCTAACCTCATGCCTTAGTCATGGTGGATATTTTTTTCGAGCACATTCCCACCCTCAAAGGAGTGGTCGGTACATGCGACCACCTAGCCTAACGTTCTTAATCATGGTGAATTTTTTCTTTGAGTACATACCTACCCTCAAAGAAGTGGTCGATACATGTGACCACCCAGCCTTATGGCCTTAGTCATGGTGGATTTTTTCTTTCAAACAGCTCGAGCATGGAAACCTACCATTGAGGACGAAATGAAATACATCAAACACCACAAGATAGGATAGTAATCGATCATATTCATTAATGTCACCAAATGCATAATTACATCGAACGAGATGATAATAATAAAAAACATCCAGCATATTTTTTGACCTCCCTTTCTCGTTTGTACATGAAGATCTGCGTGTTAGATATGTTGTAAAAGCTTGGCTTTCAGATATAAACAATACCATTTTGATCTAGAAATCGTGTCTTAGTCAAAGTAATTATGTTTGAAGTTTATTTCTTAATGCAATCATAACTCCATTATTTTACATTGTAGATAATATGGTTCGTCGTGTCAAACAGAAAGATCATATTATCGGTTCCTTGTAAAATATAAATTAATTGTTCACAGTTAGACAGACAGTGAGACCCCTGTTGGAAAAAATATTGTAGTGTGGTCTTGATTCAGTTGATCTTTAACTGATGGATTACACTAGTACTTATGATAAGTATTGAACGGGCAACGGAAGGATAAGATTATAGGATTTACTGATTGTGGTTATAATCTAGACCTTCAGTTATTGATGCATACTCTTAACTTGTAAGATAATATAAAATAGACATATATATATATATATATATATATTCATTACTTATTTATTTAGTTTACCGAGGGTGATTCCTATTATGTTAGGATGATGTACTTGGTATTTCAATAATTAGAGTGTTTATATGATGTAGTGTTATAAATTATTTACAGTCATTATGTCCCAGTGCGCTGGGTTGATGACGTTCCCCAAATGAGCTCGGTAAGGAATATTATGTCAAACCCTGCAGGTGAATAATTGTTCGACATAATGATTAATGAATTAAGTGTACTAATTTCGAAAATGAAAGAAATCAATTTAATTTATTTGTCTGTAATTAAATTAATTGATGGACGTTATATCTTAAATGTAGGGAGGTAAATCGGTGAATTAGATTAATATTTATTAATCATTTGGAGGTTCGAATTTATTGAATAAATTGGAGATAAATCGGGAGAGCAATAATATTACTCTAGTTGGATGTTTTATTATTTAATTCTACTTAGGATTTTAGGAATTAATTATATTTAATATCTTAGATTCCATTAGGAGAGAAATATCCCTTCTAGAATATTACCTAGGCTTAGAAGACAATGGAGTCTTCTAGAAGGTAATAAGGGTTTAGGAGGAATAAGAATTCTACATGGGATAGGATATGGAGCATGATTAGGATTACTAAGCCTAATGGAAAAAACCCATAATTAGCACCTCCTTAAGGTCCCTAATGGAGCCTATAAATACACAATGTTCCAAGCTCTTCCAAGAGTTGATGCCACACGTTTTTCTTCTTCCCAAAGAGAGAGAATTGTGTTCTTCGAGA